AAAAATATTCTGAATCGAACTGTCGATTCAGATTTTCGAGACCTGCGCGCGGGCTGGGGTCCCATATCCAATATGAAACTAAACTTAAATTGAAACTTTAACAACGTCACGACGTATAAAAAATATTTCTCTATTTTTTGAAACATAGTAGAGCGTTTTTACCAACATTTTCTATGTTCTGTTTCTATTTTTATAGACTATTTGATGATGTCATGATAGTTACTTAGCTGTTTATAAATGGTGATAGAGAAGGAAGACAAATCATAACTATATAGTATTATTCATCATTTGCCGATCAGATGTTCATTTATAATGTTATCGTTTTCTCCCATTTTCTCTTGACTATACTCAGCGGCTGTTTCTCATTTCTCATGTTAACAAGAAACTGAGATCACCTGCTCTCATCGTCAATAAATGAATGTTTTAGAAACTAATCGTTTTGAAAGCTTAAGATTTTATATGATAATTTCACGTTTTAAGAAATTTTAAAATTCAAAACAAACTGTTGAACATGATATTCTAAAATGTCCCAACTAAAGCTAGTGGTGATATATATGGATATTTATTCAGAAGATGAAAAAGAAACAGGAACGTTCATGTATCAGAGCAAAAGTTCGCAGTTTATGCAATCGGTTGAATAAGTTATTATTTTTAAAAAATATTATAACAAAAAGTTTCAGATATTTGAATTTCAATTATTTCAAACAATTGTTCAATTGTTGTTATAATTGAACAATCGTTCATTGTTCAGTTATTCCATCTACAGTTTTTTCTTTGTACCAAGGTAAGTTGCACAAGCTGGGCAGTGATGAACAGTATCCTAAAATATCAACTAACAAAGTAATTAATAATTTATTTTTAACAAGCTTACTTTTAAATCATCGATACAAAATGGTATAAGGCAGCAGCCAAGCCAAAAACCAAAGAGAATTAAAATGCCGCAGATTATCCATACAAGAAGACCCGATTGCTTTTCAATTCGTGAAATGATACTCTGATGACAGTTGGGACAAATACACTGAAACGGTTGATCCCCAAACATTGGAGTGCCTACGTACATTGGTTGGGTAACAATATGAGGGGCAATAATTGTAGATACGCCTGGGCTTGGATACATCGGTTGATCTTCAAAAAATAAGTTTGATTTGTTAGAAGAAAAGAAAATTATTATCCTTATTTTCATCCATAGAATAAGTATACTGAGAAACCTTTAAAAATGCGAACGGTCTGCTTTTCAGTCTGATTCACGGTTTTGCGTAAATGATAAAAAACGAAGTTGATAAACAACTTCTGTGCATCTATCTAATTGAGCGGTTTTTAAAATACGTTGTTTTAAACGCCTTTTACGTGTTTTCTCTGTCAGATATATCTCATAATTGATTAACATTGATGCCAACATTCGTTAATATCATAGAGCAATACACATTAGAAAAATATTCAGATGTCAGATTATAATGCTCTGGCATTAATGAACATTTGAAAAGCGATCGTGTTTCAATCAAACTCTCTCTTCACTGCCTAACGGCGATTTCAATGATCTTTAAAAGAACGTACTTTGTAATTACACAGGTCACTTTTTTTAGGATATTTCCAGTGATGTTTACATCTCCACCAAAACTTATCGGAAAATTCTGGAAGACATCCGATTTTGAAGAGAAGGCTTTCTTCTATTAGACTATGTATAAGAAAAAAGTTTGATACATACGAAAGGAAAGAAAACTGTATGAAATTAAAATATCGAGTCTTTAAAGGCTCTGAAGGAAAACTCAAAAATACTGTAATAACTTTCGCAGACAGCAATAAGGACCCAAATTCTTTTGGACTTTTTCCCAGGACACTATACAATATCTATTGGCAAAAGATCATTAAAATCGGTACTGGGCACCTGAAGAGGTTTCCTCGTTAGAAAAAAAGTATTTAAATAATCAAGTTTCAGAGTAAAACGGAAGAACAACAAGTCCTTCTTTATGAATACATGAGAAGGCGTTGAAAAAAAAGTGTTAAAAAAGATAGATAAGTGTACTCCATAACAACAATTACACATGAGACTTTTTCTCGTAACGAACTAATATGCGTTTTCTTCTTACTGTAGTTAGCTGGTGGAGCGTTAGCTATTGGAGCTTCAGCTTCAAGGTTTTTTGTCTGGTTTACTGGATAAACAGACGCCATTGCTTTTTATTATCAATTGTCGTATCCCAATATAATAATAGTCTTGACTTTTGAATCACTTTGAAATAATGGAAAGTAATATCATTTTCTGTAAATTTACCATAGAAATATATATCATTTTTTTTAATTTCTCTATTCTTGTCGACTAGGATAGAAGAAGAGAACGCTGAACAAAGACTATATCAAAAAGTTTTTCTTGTGAGTAAAGAACGTCGACATAATAGAAGACACATAAAGCATAGAAACGAAGAAAACAAGACTAAAAACTGTGTTTTTTTCAATTTTAATTTAAGTTCATTTTTCTCTTCCACCGATAAAGAAGAAAGTCTTGCGTATAGTTACGAACAAGCAGCACTCCTGTGCCATAAATGAGCTGATGATGATCGATAGAATTCATCTAAGATGCCCGTAATTCAAACTTCAAGCAAACTTTTTTTTTGACTTAATCATACATATTCTCATTTATCTCGTCGAGCTGGTCGCGAATATCACCTTTTACTTCTATTGAACTGCATCTTCAGGGAGAAAAATTCCGATTACGGAGAAGGTGCAACAACCCTAAACTTTTTTGTTTCCAGGAAAACGCCATAACTTTTTTCGCTTTAGTCATGCAACTCTGAAGCTACTATTTTCAGATTCCTTATAAAAAACTGGTTCTATGGATGGTGTACGGCGTCAAAAACTACATTAGACGATGTGCATTTGAGATTTTTTAGAGAAATGAAAAATTTCGACATTTTTTTCTATTTTTATGTTCAGCTTCCGAGCAAATCTTGATGAAATTTTTCATTTGTCTAAAAAATGTCAAATGCACATCGTCTAATGCAGTTTTTGACGCTGATTCTAAATATCATCTTATTTTTGTTCTTAAGTGAAGTTTTGATGACTAAAATCTATAAAAACTAGCAAGTCGCGGTTGGTCTGCCATCTTGTTTTCAAGTCTTGAAACTTTTGCACTACTTTGAAAATAAAGTTTTTGCGCTCAGTTTGTGGAAGATTGAAATCTTTTTCGCACGTAACCTTCGAATTGTTAGCGAAATCCTATTTAGATGCCTAAAAGTGGCATTTTCTCGAAAATGTTGTCACTTCAAAATCCCAGTTCTCCAATTGATGTGACTTTTAAACAGTCACTTCCTACTTCAGAAAAATTAGGAATGATGTGGTTTTGTTCATTTTTATCAGGCTTTGGAATGCGATGTTGTTCGAACAAAACGGATAAAAATGGCGGAGTTATTGTCAACATATCAGAGATGGTTACTTTTTGCAAATTGACGATGGTACTCATTTTGTAAATTCTATAACTCAGCCAGAAAAAGTTAGAAAGTTTTTTCATATTTTTCATAACCCCAGTTTTGATAGTAGAATCCGAATATGAAATAAAAAGTATATGCCAATTTTTTACTCATGACTTGATTTCTTGATGTGCTGGCGAACCGCCTCTTAAGTACTCAAAAGTAGTTACAAATTGGAGAAAATCACCCGAGATGTTGTTTATCTTCATCTTTTGAACGATAAATTATTTTTCATTCCTTTAGCTTTATTTTTTAAATACAAATGATTCATTTATATTGACACTTTCACATACGGAATCGAATGGAAGTGTCAAAAATCGAAAAAAATAAAAGTTTTCAGACGGATTTTTCAGTCTCGGAGTATCCGAGTTCAAAATCATCCAGAATTTTGCACAAAGTTTTACTGCAGAACTGCATTATGGAAGAAAACCGTGAGAGGAAAGATTATTCAGTATCAAATTCTATACTGGGTCACAAAAAAAATTAGATTTTTAAATGAAAAAATACCGTTTTTATAAATTTAACTTTACATAAAATTTAATTTAAAAATTAAGGCTTAAAAATTTCCCTTCGTGATCCGGTGTGGAATTTGATACTGAACAATTTTTGTCCGCACAGTAGTCTTCTATGACACGTTCCTGAAGCGGAACTCTTTGTGAGGTTTTTTTCAAAACACTTTTTGTACCAAAAACCAATTGGGCAAGTCAGATCCGAATTTTTCCATCAAACCTTATCCGATAGCAGAAAATGATTTTGGTAGGTACATTTCAACGTACCCCTTTACATGTCAAATGACGAAAGGTTCAAGCTTATTTCTCGAAAAACAAAAATTTTATTGAAACCTTAAAAAAAGGGAAAATACCAGGAAAAATTAAAAAGTGTTTTCCCTAAAACTACAAGTTCGGTGACGGAAATAATTTTACTATATGTGTTTCAAACTATTCTCCCCGAAACGGTAAAAACAACGAGTGACAGGACCCTTCCCCCTCCCAGTAAATACAAAAAATTAGATAGGTTTTCAAAATTTTTTTGGGCACTCTAGAGCGCAGAGAAAACAAGAAGACGAGCCGCAAACCTATAGCGCTCTAGGTTTGCGGCTCATCCTCTACTTTTATGTAGTGAAGCTGTGTATTATAATGCGAGCAAATTGGGATTGTGAAATTACAGAGAACAGTACAACAAATATATTTACCCGCATCGCGAAATAACTATCATACTATCTTTTTCGATTTGCTTTTCTTTGAATATCAGGCAAAACAGCTATAGAAAGAAAAGAAAACAGTAAATAATATCGTTGCACTAGTACTGTGTGTACTATGTAGAAATGGATACGAGTAACAAAATGAATACACAAGTCAAAGAAAGAAGAATGAAATCATTTATCCAACGAAGTCACGTGGGGAGGGGGGGGGAGGGGGTAAAAGTTAAAGAAGTTGTAACAACAAAATTTGGTTTAACTTTATTCTCTGATTTTCGGTAGTTTTTTGTTATAAAAACCTCTTATGTATTTCTGTGAGTCCTAGCTCGCCTTGAGAAAATTTAATCTAATGTTGTTAATCTAAATGTTGTTTTAGCATTTGAACAACTATATTCTTCTCCTAATTTTACTTGGATACATTCATCAATTGATGCATACTGTCTTATTTCTTATAATCGTGATTTTGATATTCTTAAGAATAAACAAGAAGAACAATGTGATTCATCTTCAATTCCTTTCGATAGTATTAGTTCATTAATTATAAACCTATACGATAACTTATATAAACAAAAACTTTAATTCAATAAATTAATAATACCATTATCGAAAAACACTGTTTTTTTACAACGTGTGTACAATTATATCAAAAACTGAATCAAAACAAGATGATTGCTATACAATTTTTAATCAGTTATATCAACTTCAACTTACAAATGATAATTATAAACGACTACAAGCTATACCACAATTATCGTTTAAGTGGCGAACTGATTTCCCACTACTTTTCTATCTTCACTACTTTTTGTTTTCGTAAAAATTATTAAAATGATAAAGAATGGATATTGAATACGGAAGATGTTTTGTTGTAGGGGTAGCCTGATTGTAGTGTTTAATAAATTCTTTCAAAGGCAATGGTTTTGGAGATGTTTTATTGTTTTGTGAAAAAATCATAAAAAAAAATTTATTTTTAAAATATTATGGGAAAAGTTTAAAAAGTTATGACACATGTTTTGGTGTACTACCTTTTTCGAATTGTATAAAAAATGAATGAATGAGACAGTATATATACACAAAAGTGTATCTATAAAGATCAATCATATCACACAAAGAAAAGCAAAAATGAACTTATATGTTAAAAAGTGCCGCAATTTTTGACGGTAAAAGAAAAGGATGTAGTATTAGAACGACATAAAACACAATAAAATAAAATAATAAAACCCGGCAAACTCTCTATATATGACAACGGTATGGAAAGAGAGAAAACATAGAATATATCTTTTGACTACTGGGTAAAAAAATATGATAAACTTGAAATAAATAAATAAATAACTCACACTATCGAGCTCTCTACATATGTCATGCCCACTCACCCTAACCCTAGTAGCATGACTTTAAGAGAAAGGAAGTGGAGTGAACTATAGGAGAGAAGAGAAATTGCTACGAAGTTTTATTATTGTTATTGAAATGTGGTTGAAGAGCGTTGATTCTTCCGATTGTACTGTTGTCACCATTATTGTTGATAAAACATTGTAATTCATCGTTTCATCATTTTTGAGATACCAAAGGTATTAATGATTGATATTGACTAACGGGAATTATTTGATGGTTGTGTTTTTGTTCTATTAAACTATCCAGATAGAAACGAAAGTTCTTGAGGACAAAAATAGAAAAAAGACTAAAAGACACTAGTTTATCGCTAATAACTAATTAACTTACTTGATAACATGGATCAGTTTCGGGATATTTATCTTGCGGCTTTTTACAAATGGCATAGATCACATTCATTTTATATTTATGTAAACGTTCACTGGCTGCATCGATCATTGCTTTAGGAACTAAGGATGAATCCCATATCATAGCGTCAATACCAATCTAAATATAAGAGAAAGAAATAGTGACAAAAGTATAAATAAAAGAGAACAATTATACAACTTACGCATGGAAATACAATTGATTTTATATTACGTTCTTGTGCTGTATCAAGACAAAAGTGAACTAATGTTGCTAACGACTAAAATAAAAGAAATTTAATTCTAATTACGGCAACGAACATGACATACCTCTTGTATTTCAGTATAGGACATTTTCGATGTTGAGTTTTTCCACTCAATAAATATAATTTTTTGTACTTTTGTTTTCCCCCCATTTAATATAAGTACTTGACGAGAGTTATACGACTGACGATATTGGTCATAGATATCTTTACCAGCGTGAGCTAACACAAAATTCAAAATATTTTCACTCGTTGTTATACAAACAAGAGCATCAGCCTATAAAATGCACATTGTGATCATAATGAGTAGGAAAAAGACGAGAAAGAAAAAAACCTTACTGATACTTGACTAAGATCATCAAGGACAACATCGATTGACGAATGAGTTTCTTGAATCTGGAATTTACGATCATTAGGATACGGTAAAGAGCTTGCTAAAGCTGTGGATGATCGAAAATTCTAAACAAAATCGAATTGAAATCAAATTATCTTAAGCGACAAAAAAACTGGGTAAGCGAGTTAGGTTAATGGAAACATTCTTTTATTCTCAGTACAGAGTTTGACGTAAAACTGAAGATAAAAGAAAGAAATCGAATAGATAGATCTCGAATTTTTTCTACAAAATAACTAACAAACCTTCACATTTGATTGTGTAACTTCAATTTGAACTAAAAATAAAGTTTAAACACTTGAGAGTTTCAATTAACACGTGACAAACTTACTATCTACATTGGAGAATGTTTCTGTTATAACTGAAATTCTTTTTGATTTAAATAAAATATATGGAGTTCACGATGATGGTTCCGATATTATTCCCTGCCTTTTCTTCTAAACATATCGTTTTTGAAAGTTGTGATATAGCAGACACTATGATTGCATTCTCATTTCTTTCAATAGAATAAAGTATATAATAATCCTACTTTATCAAAAATGTCTCTAGCTCTGACCACAGTACAGCAAAAAACGTAGATCTCGCTGAGCCTTCGCTGGAAGAACATTTCTCAAACGAACTATTACTAAAATTTTTACATCGCAAGTACCATTGGCTGTTTGTGTCTTTATTCTGCATGTTTTTGCCGCATTCTTCAGATAACTTTCATATCTAGCTTCTTTGCCGGTACCAGTCATCGTTTGTTGTACCGTAATTACGTTAAGCAAATAAACAGCTATGTCAAGCAAATTTGAAAAAAGAAGAAGAGAAATATCATGACCAAGCAACATGTTACAGATAAGAACAACACGATTTCAATAGCAACCTCTTGATGAGGCAACATTTCAAAGGTGGTCATACATTTCTGAGTAAACTTATACCCCAGTTTTACTTTATAACAGTAAGTAAGTTGACGAGGTATCAGAAATATGAATGATCTGATAGGTGATGTTTATCTAGCCACGATGTTTAGTACCTGTGCAAAATCATATTTGTGACACAACAAAAATCAGAAACGAAAGCGTTTTGTTCAAAGGACTATCTCTCTCTGTCTGAAAAGGTTATTCCACTCTTCTACTGTGCCACACAAAAGCGATGAATTAGTTGCTTTCCTTGTGGAAATCGATGATATCTGTAATCAACTAACAAAAGAGACCCAAAAGTCACCCAATAATCTTGTGTCCATGACCTGCTCCGTGATGTGTGCTGGAAGACAAACACCTGCTCGAGGAAAGCGAGTCCTGTCCAAACGATGATAGCTGGAGAGCTGGGACTCGCATAATTTTGTCGAGCAATGTCCGGACTGTTTACGCATACAAAAAAATTACTAACGTTGTATGTTAATTTTCTGACAACAGAGCTGGTTTTCCTCAGATCCTCTGGAAAATCAGCTTTAAAGAGTTTTCCGAAACTTGTTTTTGCTTGCGAAAGTATGTGTTCAAACGTCTTCTCCCGAATGCTGAAACCCGCAAGTCTCTACCTATCTTCTATCAAAAGTTATTCAAAAAATGACCAGAGCTCTTTTATTTTGGAACGGATAGTACTATTCATTTCAAAATAAAATAGCATGAGTTGTTTTTCTCATGCCTTAAGAACAGAAAGTGATGGAGAAGTGCGGTTTTCACTGGTTTGTAGAGAAGACTTTACTGCATCGTTTCATATATAGAGGCTTTCCAGCTCGGCTTTTCAGATGATGCATGTGACGGATGGAAACAGAAGAGGTCTTGAGAGGCCGAAGCCGAAGTAATTTTAAAATCAAGTTAAATGGTTAGATTGCTTCGAGTGTCTTTTACAACTCCGAGGCCACTAGTTATCGGCCTTCTGGATCTACAGCCGTTTAATTAGCCGTTTTCACGAAAATTTAAAAGCTTATAACGCAGTTCAAACTACCACTCGATCCAAACTACGTCATTTCAGCATATGCTTCATTTTGTTTGCCTCATATTCTGGATTTCAACAGAAGTTTTAGGAATCTGTCGAAAGTATTGGGTTATCATTCGTAGTGTTAGCTTTTACTAGGTTTTTGGATTTCTTCCTACAAACAAACATTTTCAATTGGTAGAGCATAGTTGATAATCTATGTTTGGGCTTAGCTCCAAAGTTATCGGACTGAGACAGATTGGTCCAACGAAATGGCTGTAGACCGACAAGGCTGATAGCTCGCGACGTCGGAATTGCGCAACTCTGTAGAAGATACTGAATGTATAAAAATGTCGCTCATACAGAAATTCTGTATGAGCGACATGAATTCTGTAACAGAATTTGAGCCGTAGCTGTCCGCTCAGTAGACAAATAAATTCATCACTGAACCCCACTAATGCATAATTAATTGGTTCTCCTATTTTCTCAAGTTAAGTTTACATGAGAGTAATGAAACAAAAGAGAAAATAAGAGATACATGGAAGGCGCATAAGCACCATCCAGCGAAAAACTAACTATCACTTTTCTTTGTTGTAAGGACCAACATTACTAAACAGACAGCTAGCAAACAATGGGCAACAAAACCCCAGAATCGGCACCAACCTCTACTGCTGGTGCTGCACATATTCAAAGCGGCTCGCAGCACGAAAGGTCGGCTCAACAGCGACGAAATTTGGAAAGCAACACCATCGTCTGGCTTGACGCGAACGTTAGTTCTTCAGATGACAATGTGAATGCAAAAGTTCGTCTGCGTCAAGCAATAAATCACGTTGAAACTTTCGAGGATAAGCAAAAGTGTATCGATCACATAGTGTCACTTGAATCAGAGCAAATATATTTTATCGTATCTGGCTCGTTAGGCGAATCTGTCGTGCCACTGATTCATGAGAAACCACAAATAGAATCAATTTATGTGTTTTGCTTTACTAAAGGGAAACACGAAGAGTGGGCTAAACACTACGAGAAAGTATGTGCTGTTGCCACGAACATCGATGATATCTGTGATCAACTAACAAAAGACGTCGTAGTCAGCTCCAATAATCTTGTGTCCATGACCGCTGTCTCACCGAACACAAATGGTAAAGAAATAAACAAACAAGAAGTATCATTCATGTATTTCCAATTACTTGTCAGTATTTCAACTGAGTTAGCTCACAAAGACTCAATGAAACAAGAACTGATTGATTTGTGTCGAATGGAGTATGCAGGCAATGACAAAGAACTAAATGCCATCGATCAATTCCATAAAACGTACTCGAAAGAGCAAGCAATAGAGTGGTACATGAAAGACTGCTTTCTCTATCGAATACTAAATAAAGCATTACGAATACAAGACATTGACATGTTATTCAAGCTCGGCTTTTTCATCAGAGACCTCCAGGAGGAGCTTGGTAAGCTGCAAAAATCAGCAACCACTCGTCTCGGAAGAACAATCACTGTTTATCGTGGGCTAGAGATGTCCAACAAGGAGTTCGAAAGTACAGAAAAGAAAGTAGGAGGACTTTTATTGATGAACAGCTTCTTGTCAACAACTGCTCAAGAAGCTGTTGCTCTGCGCTTTGCTCGCAGATTAGGCAGAACAGATACTACGCCAGTTCTGTTTGAAATGACGGTTGATACCGAGAAATGTAGACAACCTTTCTCAAGTATAAAAGCAGTGAGTGATTTTAGTGCGGAAGAGAAAATTCTATTTTCAATCGGCACCGTCTTTCGGATTGTCTCCATAAAGCAGCTGAACAAAGAAGACGTTTGGAATGTTAAGCTAGAATTGAATGGAGACGAAGACATCGAGTTAAGCATGTTAACAAATCATATAAAGCGTGAACTCGGTGAATCGAACAACTTGAACACCTTGGGTACGTTACTAATCACAATGGGTGAAAATAGTAAAGCAAAACAATATTTCCAGATGTTGCTCGATGACACCTCCCTAGATCAAATTGCTCATGCATCAGTATATCATAACATCGGACTAGTTCATGACAATCAAGGTGACTATGAGAAAGCATTAAAATCTTATGAAAAATCTCTCGAAATTAAATTGATTTCACTTCCACCAAATCACCCTGATATTGCAGCAACATATAATAATATGGGACTAGTTCACAAGAATCAAGGCGATTATGAGGAAGCACTGAAAACTTATGAAAAATCTCTTGAAATTAAAATGATTTCACTTCAACAAAATCACCCATCTATTGCAACAACATATAATAACATCGGAGAAGTTCATGACAACCAAGGTGATTATGAGAAAGCATTGAAGTCTTATGAGAAAGCACTTGAGATCTATTTGATTTCACTTCCACCGAATCACCCTTCTATTGCAGCAACATATAATAACATCGGACTAGTTTACAACAATCAAGGTGATTATGAGAAAGCATTGAAATCTTATGAAAAATCTCTTGAGATCTATTTGATTTCACTTCCGCCAAATCACCCTGATATCACAATAACATATAATAACATTGGGTCAGTTTATAACAATCAAGGTGATTATGAGAAAGCAGTGAAATTTTTTGAAAAATCTCTTGAGATCTATTTGGTTTCACTTCCACTAAATCATCATCATATTGCAACAACATATGACAATATCGGATCAGTTTACGACAATGAAGGTGATTATGAGAAAGCATTGGAATATTATGAAAAAGCGCTTAGTATGGCACGAAAAACATTGCCGCTTGCTCATTCTACTCTTCGCACTATCGAGTCATCAATAGCAACTGTTCGTAAAAAGCTTTCGCAATAGAGTAACATTTTCGGAAGTTCTGTACGTTTTGTTTGTATTATTGAGCTCATGCAATTTCGACCCACATTCTCGTGCTTTATGTTTTCGCTTGAGTGGACATGCTAGTAGCAGGAACAAGAATTCGGGATTCATGTCTTGATTTCACTGAAGCTACTGTCTGTTTGGCTAGCTGTCTTTCTTGATGTGACCACAGCAGCTGCATTGAATTATAGGTTAGAGTCGTTTTTACTGATTTCGAAGAAGTTCTACATGCAATAGGCGAAAATCATAATCTTAACTTAATTGATGACGATGTTAACTTACAATTGATATATGCAATGGAAACAATCGTCGAAATACAAAAAAGCAAACTGAATGGAAAATTTCTATGGTTCTTGTGTAAGATTTTGATGAATTTTTTTAATTTTGCGGCTACATGTTTCAATGCGACATCAGTGAATCAATTGAATAGTCTTGGTCCTAGAAGGCTATTTTTTGAAAAGAAGTTTTGGGAAAAGACGCAGGTCGAGACCAGAACTTCTTTCTAAAACGAACTCATGGCTGGAAATATTTTCCGATGACGAAGATCCGCTTCTTTTCTTTTTGCATCCAGGGTTTCTGCATTTCCAAAGGTGTGTTTTTAAAAACCTGAACCTTTTTAATAGATTCGCATTCATTAAGCAATCACTCACATAGAAAAATAAAGTGCTTTGATTTTTAAGGTGCCCGTGATACAATATTTAAGGGCCCCCCTCCGAAATGACGATTTTCAGTCCAAAAATCGGCAATAGACAGATAGCCTGAAGTGTCTACTTTCAGAATCTGTATCGCTTTTGGTTACAAAAGTGGTTTTTTGGGGATTTTGAACTAGTTTTCTGAGCCCGAAAAACCGAGTCGTCAAATAATAGTTTTTTGCTGAATACTTATGCAATTAAAATTTTTCTGAACACCAGATTTGTAGAGCAAACGTTTCTGATCAAAATAAGACCTTGCACAGCTCTGTATGACCTTGCATCAAAAAGACACAAGCATTTTCCTAGAAGTCCTAAAATTCAGTATTTCATACAGCGTTCAGTACAGCGTTTTCACTATATACACCTGAAGTCCCATGATTTTTAATAGCGGTTTGTCGTAGAGAGTTCATTCGTTTTTTGTTTAAAAGAGGAAAAGAAACTACATGGTCTGACCGGCACCAATTTTTGAATTAGGTCTTAGCTTTTTATCAAATTGAGGATTTTTAGAAAATCCGGAAGAAGGCTTTTTCGGGTTTTGGAGATTGTTGGTTGCCTGGAAAACCAGTAAAGGCTTAATCGAAAATCGAAGACTGCCAGACCATGTAGTTAGGTGTCTAGCTTAGAACAAAACAAACCCAAACTCCCCAGCTTAAAGTATATTAAAAGCTTGGGAAATACTTCAGGGTCCTTCCTGAACCTTGATCTCCGGAAAACTATTTGTATTAAACTATTAGTAACTGATTTTTGAGAAAAAATCTTTCGTTTACCACGTACGGTGTCCATAATTCAAAAGTTAAGCAAAATTTATTTTTGCGATATTTATATATAGTTGGATAGAGCTCGTCGAGCTGAACAAGAATATGCGGTTTTTAACCGTTCGAATCAAAATGTCGAAAATTTTAAAAAACTGAAAATATTATAACTATAGAAAACGGCTTGTTTTTTACTTAACGTAAAACTCGAACACAGTATGTTTGACAATCTTGGAAGCTTTGTTTTCTTGTTCTCCGTAAAAAACTGAATCTGAAAAATAGTATTTCGATACTGTTGAAGTATGACATGACCAAGTCAGTTTTTGATGCTGATTCCAAATATGACACCGGTTACTTCAACAGTATAGAAGTACTATTTTCCAGATTCAGTTTTTTACGCAGAACAAGAGAAAAAGCTTCCAAGATTGCCAAACATACTGTGTTCGAGTTTTACGTTCGTTTTTAAAAAACAAGCCGTTTTTTATAGTTATAAAATTTTCAACGTTTTGATTCGAAAGGTTAAAAACCGCATATTCTTGTTCAGCTCGACGAGCTCTATCTAACTATATATAAATATCGCAAAAATAAATTTTGCTTAACTTTTGAATTATGGACACCATACGTGGTAAACGAAAGATTTTTGCTCAAAAATCATTTACTTTTAAATGAGACGTCTCTTCACTGCGTGTGCTGAGCCATCACCGAATTATAACCAGTTTTTTACTTGACCTACTTACAGGAATACTTGTCTTTTTCATGATTCATATAATAAAAAATCACTTTATTATATTCTTTTAATCTTTTGAATATCTTTGTCACCAGAGGAATTATTCCTGTACCTCAGGCAAAAATTTCGGGGAAAACTTTTTGTCTGCCTTCAACACCAAACTTATGTGAACACCGTTTCTCGATATGCCCAATCCAAATATCGCAACCTCCTGGCTTGAATCGTTGCGAGAAAAACGCAGGTAGTTTTCATATTGATTATGAAAATGTAGAGCAAGAAAGACCCGAGAAAATTGTTTGTGAAAGCTGAACTGCAACTCCTTGAGAATGGTACAATCCGTACGCTTAGATCGAGGTTGGCAGGCTATTCAGATCAAACAATCCTATCGTAGGATCCTAGAAGATTCTTACAAGATCCTACTGTAGGATCCTACGAAAATCTTGTAGGACTTTGTAGAAAAACCTCAAAGCCAACTTCTAGAAAATCCTGCTGCAAGATTCTTATAGGATCCTGTATTCAGATCTTGTGAAATCTTGCAAAACCCTACAGAATCCTATTGTAGGACAACAGTAGGATTTGATTTGATTTTCTGCTGGTTGATCCTACTACGCTTATTGTTTTTATTTGTTTAATTATTCTCTGATCCCAGCTAGCCAGAATCAAGTGATTCTGAGCAGGGATAAGCCCAAGGCTTGTGAATATTAACTCACACGTCGTCGAACAGCAGTGAGTTTCGATGGCTGACAGTGTTCGATACGAAAATTCAAGCCGGAAAGAATTTTTTATTTTCTACAATAGAGTTATGCAACACACGTTGGTGATGGTGTTCTCATATAGACAAAGAAAAGAAAATATATGCAGAACGAAAAAACAGGAACCCTACGCAAAAGGATTTTGTAAGAAATGCATAAGATTCCTATTATGGGAATCTTATAAGGTTTTTGCTACCGTCCTATATCAAGAATCTTACTGAATTTCTGCCGTAGGATTCCATAGGACCCTACAAAAAGACTCCTATTAAATCCTGTTACCAGTAAGACCCTATAGCATCTTGTAGAATTCTGGTAGGATTGCTTGACCTAGGAAAGTAGTCAAGAGGTAATCGCAGATCGGCTCGAGCTTAAACCTGTGAGACATCCATTTGTAGTCGATCTTTCTTATATAGACATGAATTTATTCATTTTTATGTTTATGGCTATTTATTGTGTCTCTTTCTAGATATTTTCCACTGATGACGGTGTATAAAACATCGAAACTTTTCTAATCATAATAGAAATAAGCTAATATTTTTATGAACAATACGACTCAAAGCAAAATGGACAATAAATAAATCTCAAATTTAAGGCGCCGCTAATTCAAAAGAATTGCAAGTTCTTATTTTTCACTTAAAACTATATCATTCGATGCAAAATTTC